GTACATAGCTAGGATTCTTCATTCCCCATCTCTAAACACACCCCCAATTCCAGATGGTCCAGGGTTCCCCACAGAGCTGCCGTCAAAGTTTAATTTCACAGTATGCTGTAAAGGAGGGGACCAAGCTGATGTAAGGTAGAACAAAATACCGAAGACCCTACTATTATACTCCATCCTCTAGTCAAGTCATCTGTAGAGAAGTCCTTGAACAAATCTAGAGTTTTCAGCCAATGTATAAGCCTTGATGGTGATCCCTTCAATGAGTTCAGGAGCTGATTTTTCTTTTCCTTGGAAAATCTTGTTGTTTCTCTCTTCCCAAACTGCTCACAAGATAGCTACCCTTGTTCTCCACATCACCCTTCCCTTCTTTGGTTGTCGGAAGAAGCTAGGGTCAAAGAGATCCTCTACGCTTGAGGGAGAGTTCCACCTGCAATCAAAGAGAGAGGAGAACCAATCCCATAAAAGAGTAACAAAGGGACAAGAAAGTAATAGATGATTTACTGTCTCACCATTCCTCAAGCAAAGGCTACAAACATGTGGAGACAAGCACCAACTTGGTCCTTTTTCTTTGAAGCACTTCTAAGGTATTAATTTTTTGGAGAACCACTTGCCAACAAAAAGCCCTTACCTTTGGAGGCACCGGAGAACTCCAGGTTTAGGAATACATCAAGGCAAGGTGGAGCCAAAATGCCTATCCTCGAGTTTCAACTACCTTGTATTGTTTTGGGCCTCAAAAATCATGAGGCTTGTGCCTCACCACCCTTCACCTCAAGTTGGTGAGGCACACACCTTATCTAATCAGCCTATTAAAATGAAAACGAAAAGAGAAAAATTATGGGATAGTTTCCAAAATTCAAGGAAACTTAATTATTTAGTTACTGACTAATAAAATCATACAGTCCACACTCAAGAGTCTTTCCTGATGTTGTTCTTAACCCAAACATATCATTTTGTTTCTCTTAATTACTAAATAAATCATGATGTTCTACTCCACATCTCAATCTATTATACCAGAGAGTAGCATGTCTACTCATATGTTTACCCATAACACCCACGCACCCATAACAAGCAGTAGTAGTAGAACCCACCAATCTAAAAACTAAGTTTTATTTTTATTTAACGAAAAATAATATATAAATAAAAATTATCGCTACAATAAAAATTAAACAAAACTGTCAATCTCTTTATACTAAAAAAAAGCTGTTAATATCTTTCTAAACACTCTCAGTTGCAAGCCATTTAGCACCAACAAGGTTATATATATAATGAAAAATGTTCTGTCAAAAATATTTATAAATTAGCTTATATTAGACATAAACTAGAATGCATGAATAAATAAATAGATTATTTCATTTAGGTGAGGATCAAAAGATAATCTAAGTAATAGGAATATGTTATAAAGACTAATAAAAGACCAAAAATATAGAAAACTTGGAAAAATATTAAAGTATAAGAAAGAAAGTTAAGAAGAAAGTAAGTGAAGTTATATTTAAGGCAATATGAACTCTATCATAAATTAAGCACTAAAGAGGGAGAAAATAGAATTTCTAAACTAGCAAAGATGAGAGAAAAAAGGCAGAGTTAAACCATAATAGGTGCACTAAAGAGGAAGATCAAAGATTCTTGATAAAAGATGAGAAAATCAAGAATGGAAAAACTATTTCAAAATTTAAAAAATAAAGAACATGTGGATGGTGCTAATGGAGAGATTAGAAACTTTAATAATTTTAAAAATAACATGTACCCTCATAAATTAGAACTATTGAGGTGAAGGGGGCACCAAAAAAGATGAAGAAGGGGAAGGCATTAGGATCTTATGGTTTCCAATAGAAGTATGGAAATGTATGGGAGAGGTAGGATTATTATGGCTAACTATTTAATAAGATAATGAAAGAAAAAAAAAAAAAAAAAAAAGATGCCTAATGAATGAAGAAAGAGCACTATGGGACAATAATAGAAAGTTGTAATAACTATTCAATAACCAATGTTAGTAACACCTATACGAGAGACATCAGATTTTATAGTTACGGAGTGTTTTGACAAAGGTTCAGCATTCAGTCCTTATTTATTTGTATTGATCATAGAAGAATTAATTAAACATGTTCAGTAGGAGATCTCATGGTGCTTGTTGCTTACTAATGGCATTATTTTAATTGATGGAACTAACAAAGGGTAAATTACAAAATTAAGTTTATGGGCAAATACCTTAGAAACAAGTGATTTTAAAATAAGGACGAAAAAACAAAATATATGCTATGTAAATATAATAATAATAGGATTGTATATCAGGGTACACTTAGGATTGGATACCAAGAAAATTCAACAGGAATTTTTGATATCTTGGTTCAATAATTCATAACAAGAGAGAGATCAAGGAGGAGGCCAGGCATAAAATTAAAGTAGGAACAAAATGGACAGGTGCATCCAAAGTCTTATGTGATAGGTGAGTACCACTTAGACTAAAAGGAAAATCTACGAAACAGTTGTAAAGTCAACTGTTAGTGTAGGGGCATTTCTGTCTTTATACTTACGTTGAGGTTGCTGATCATATTAGAACTAGTGTCCCTCACTTAAATAAGGGCACTTGTGTCTTTTCCATTATATTAATAATATAAAAACATGCCTGGCCGAATGGGAGAGTGACTTTTTCCCTAGTTCGAACCAGACTTTTCTTCTCTCCTTTTCTCCTCCTTTCTCTCTCTTTCTTCTTCTTTCTTCTTGGCTGTTATCAGACTAACAGAACTCAAAGGCAGGCCGAATTATAACATGGTATCAGAGCACAACTAAGCAACTCGGATCTGCCCAGATTTCTGTTCTCTGCGCACTCAATCTAGGGTTTTCCCTTGATTTCTCTGCCATTGATTGGAGATAAGGGAAAGGGCT